TTTGGTTTGCTGTCCGAGGAGAGGGCTCCAAGCATGGAATATAGCCCGAACTTAGAGAACTTCCCCATATCCCCAAGTTGGGATAAGAATAGTTAGGATTGAGGAGTTGGGGTGGAGGAGGGATGCCAGAAAACCATTATTGGACAGAGGTGAGTTGGCTGTATATACTGTATATATTTACTATCGTGGTATTTAAGTTGATTATCTGAACGTGCTCCACCTGTGCTGAATTAGTTGATTATCTGAACGTGCTCCTCCGGGACTTTAATAAAACATAATTTAGTTTTATAGCTTGAATAAAATATGAACACATAGGAGAAAATGAATAATAAACACAGCCCTTTCTAATCTTTCATTTTGCCTTGTTGTGCCATTGCTATTATTAAATTAAAATGTATTACATTAATTTCACTGAAAGAAAAAAGTTACACTCAAGACATTCGGTTACTTTTATGATTACATTATGTTTGTTATTGCTTTGTTGACTTCGAAATTGAGCTTGCTTGCATAGAATGTGCGCATCCGGGGTGCTATACTTCTGAGTCGTCCTAGACAAAAACAAAAAAATTTGTGAGCATGCATGCAAATTTGAGCTATTCCTTTGATATAAAGAGTGCATCAAATGAAAGAATACAGATTATTTTAAAACTCTGATCATTATGAAATAGTCTATTTTGTTTTAAACACAAATCTGAAACATAAAGAGATTCAGAATATAGTGACATTGACTGCAGTAAATGAATATCCAAAAGGTCAGGTACCTCAGCTGTGAGATGTAGGGCAGACACTGAAGGAAACTCATCACTTCTCTCTCTTCCTCTGAACATCCTCTCAGCTCTACTGGTTTCTTCTCTGATTGGAGTTTCAGCACTTCCAGGAGGATTGAGCTCTTTCTCTGTGAGAGATCTATGCTCCAGACATCAGCTGACTGGAAAACTGACTGTAATGCTGGAAGAAAACTCCTGCCTGTTTGAGTCTCATAGTTCTTCACATGTGAGCAAAGATCCAGCAGGAAATCACTCTTTTTAATTCTGTATGTCCTTTCATTAGGACAAGAGCTGTAGTTGCAGACTGATGATAACAGTTTCAGCATCTGCTCTTCTGTCTGTGTCTCAATCTCTGCTGCTTTAATGAAGACTTTCAGAACAAACTGCACTGCATGACTGCTGTTCCAATTATAAAACCTGTTTCCAAAAGAAAATTAAATTGTTGTATGAATAAACATTTAACAAAACTCTGAAGGGAGTCACACACCGGATGAGATACAACACTGTTCAAAATCCTGCCACACTACAGTGCCACACACTAACATAGTTTTTAATAACATTACATTAAATTTGTCCCAAACTTTCATTAATGTGCATACAGACTGTGCTGCAAGGTAACATTTAGTTTTAGGGTTAAAGTATAAACATATAGGGAAAAATGTATAATAAACACAACCCTTTCTAATCTTTAATTTTGCCTTGCTGTGCCATTGCTATTATTAAACTAAAACATATTACATTAATATTACAAAAACATGAAAAATAGTACAAATAAATGCATGACGGACAAGAACCATGCTTCATAATCAGATGCAGTCAAAAAAAGTGAAGGCTGATTTTAAAAAGATTACAATTTAATAAAAGTTTAACTGGCATTGATGACATTTATTAGTAGGTTACATTACGTTGGATTCAGGTTTACTTGTGTCGTTATGGCAGCTTGTTTCCGCCATGGAATAAAAAATAAAAGTAATTTGCAGCTTTTTATCTTACAATTCTGACTTTTTTTTCTCAGAATTGCGAGATATAAACAATGCGAGTTATAAACTTTATAACTCACAAATCTTTGCATTGTGTTTAGCTGTATCTTGCAATCCTGAGAAAAAAAGTCAGAATTGTGGAATAAAAAGTCGCTATTTATTTATATATTAATTATTTCTTTATTTAGTGGAGAAAACGAGCTTCCATAGGAAATAGCACACAAGGTGGGAGTATTGCATTTTATTATAGCAAGAGATCCATGATGATGATATTCTGCTTTGTTCAATGATGAGCACCAATATATTCTTTTAACATTATATCAAATGTTGCAACAGCTGACATGAGGCCTGTACAAATCCTTAACTACTGATTTTACATGTGTTCGTTTGTAAATAAAGGCTAACACAATTTAATCCACAGCACACACGTCTCAACATTACGATATAGAATAGGACAAAAGCCTGTCTGAGTCCTCTCTGTGTAGTCTACCACTTTTACACATGCTCCAGCTACATTTTTATTTCCATACTTTTGAATTACTTCGGTATAAAACAGTTTAAAATGACCCAAAGACGCAGAACCTTTATTATACAACTCTTAGACAAAATGGCGGATGACAACAGTTTCCAAGCTGGGATTGGTTAATAAAATGTTTAAGGTGGGGCTTAACAAAGGTGTATTTGCATGCACATTTTAGATATCTATAAAGGCATTTTGACTAGTCACATTGTTAATTCCAGATATCCACATTGAAATTCTTCCTAGTCACAAAGCTAAATGCAGATATCTATGGCAAGCCGTTTTAGCATTAAATACTCCTTGCTGTACTAGTCATAATTTAGTTTTGACTAGTCAAAATTCCAATTCCAGATATCTATTCTGCAATTTTGACTCGTCGTAATTGGAATTAAGATATCTACAATGTGATTATGACTAGTCATTATATGCACTGAAGATATCTACAATGTTATTTTGACTAGTCATAATATACATTCGAGATATTTACAATGCTATTACGACTAGTCGCATTGTTCCATTGACTTCCATTGGAAAATATTTTCGGATATCTACAAAATAGTTTTGACTAGTATAAATTGTAATTAAAGATATCTATAATTGATTTTGTACTAGGCATAATTCTAATTAGAGATATCTCAAATTACAATTCTACTAGTGATAATTAAATTAGAGATATCTCTAACTGAATTAACACTAGTCAAAATTATAATTCAAGATATCTCTAACTGGTGTTTGACTAGTCATAATTATATTGCAGATATCTTTAATTCATGATTTCTTAAAGATATCCAAAATACATTTGTAGATATCTGAAAGTAATTTATTACTAGTCAAATTACAGTTGTAGATATCTTGAATTGGATTTTTGACTAGGCAAAACTTAATAAGAGATATCTTGAATTGGAATTCTTCCTAGTCAAAACTTATTTAAAGATATCGGCAATTTAATTATGAATATCTCAATCTAATTTTTGACTAGGAAGATCTTTCTTTGGAGATATCTCCATTTAGCTTTGTGACTAGGAAGAATTTCAATGTAGATATCTGGAATTAACAATGTGACTAGTCAAAATTCCTTTATAGATATCTAAAATGTGCATGCAAATGCACCTTTGTTAAGCCCCACCTTAAACATTTTATTAAAGTCATAAAGTATTTAGAGATATCTCTAATCCGATTTCTTACTAGTGCAATTATAACTGCAGATATCTCTAATTGTCATTGTGTCTAGTTGAATTATAATTATGACTCTTCAAAATACAATTGTTCCTATCTTAAATTATATTTACGGATAGTCAAAACTTTTAAATGCTAAAAAGGCTTGCCATATAAAATATCCCCAGCGTTACTCGTCGTAATTGCATTTTTACTAGTAACAATTCAATTAAAGAGCTCTACAATTAAATTCTTACTAGTAACAATGCCAGTTAGAGAGCTCTCTAAATCAATTCTTAACTAGAAACAATTATAATTAGAGAGCTCTCTAATTTAATTACAGAGCTCTGCAATTGCATTCTTACTAGTAAGAATTGAATTAGAGAGCTCTCTAATTGAATTAGAGATATCTGGAATTGTATTTTTACTAGTAAAAATTAAATTAGAGACTTCTAAAAACTTGTATTCATTAGATGCAAAACAGATTTGCAACTACACCCATTTGCCTGTCCAATTCCCGCCTGTGGTGATACACTTCAAAATAAAAGCCCCATAAGCATGAATTGATAGCATTGTCATTGTGTCAGAATGACCATAAGAGTGAGATGACAGTTTGCAAAGGTTTTGTTTTAATATTTAATCACTTCATTAATTCACACCTTTATATTATTATTAATATTATTAATATTGTTATTTCTTTATTTCAGACCCTTAGGTCCATATCACAAAAAATAAAATAAAGAGTATTTGAAAATACTTTACCAGACAAAATATCACCTTTTTGTGTTTTTATGCAATGTAACATGCATGCAGAATTTGAGCTAGTGCATATTATAGGATAATTAATAGGTTAATTGTCACTCTTGACAAAAAGTGTTTTAAAATTTCTTTTTTTTTTTTTGGTCAGACATTAGGGGGGAAAAATTCAATTGTGGTGTATTTACATTATTTTGGTGTATTTTTACCGATAAGCTTAATTAGGCGATGTGTTTTTGTGCTGGGAACGTGGTTTTGGCCAATAGGTAGCAGCACGACTCTGTCTTACACTCTTAAAAATAAAGGTGCTTCACGATGCCTTAGAAGAACCTTTTTGTCTAAATGGTTCCATAAAGAACCTTTAACATCTGAAGAACCTTTCTGTTTCACAAAAGGTTCTTTGTGGTGAAAGAAGGTTCTTCAGATTATAAAAAGGTAAGAAAGAGATGGTTTCATGGCATCGCTGTGAAGAACCTTTTGAAGCACCTTTATTTTTAAGAGTGTACTGAGTGATTCATTTAAAAACACAGATTAATGCAAGTACCAAACATGTCTCTCGGAGACGCACAACAGTTCTTTTCCATCTTTGTTTGGAACTATTTGTGTTGGTGAATCAAAAACTGACAATAATGTATCCAAAATGTATCTCACTTGTATTAATTTCTTGGTTGTTGAACTGTTTAAAATCAACATCACATTCACGATCATGCTCGTGCGCTAATATTCGGAAAACGCCACTCTTGCTTGCAAGACATTACTTAACTATATCAGATGTTATAAATATAAAAAACAAATACTATATTTTTGCCCTCATAACTATAGTGGCATTCTAACTGCATTCTAATAGGCTTCATCATCCAGTAAATGCCTCTGTTAACTTAACAGTGCAGGACCCAGCCTCAGCATTATTGTGTGAGTGGATAATGCGAACAAGGACCTTACAAAGCTTAACAAAAACAGGTATTTTACAACCAATAATTAAATATGCATATTGCTGAGAATACATTTATATGCATGTTTTCTGTGCAAGTGTGAATTCACCTTTAAAAATAACTTACAGTAGCTACATAGACTACCTACATTTCTTCTCTGTAAAGCATAATCATTTTATAATGATTTTAATCAATACATAATAATACTTAATAGATCATTAGAGCCTCAGCGCTGCCATTCATCATTAAAAGCTGCTTGAGGCCCCATTTTCTTTTTTTAAGATTTATTTTTGCCATTTTTGCCTTTATTCCTATAGGACAGTATAAGTGATTTGGGGGGAGGGGGTGCGGGATCAGAAGGGTCCACGAGCCGGGACTCAAACTCAGGATACCCGTAGCGCAACGATGTTATCGACAGACTGTCCACAAGGCTATAGGGACAGACAGTCACCCCTTTTAGGAATATGCATGAGACTCAATTATCATAATGAGGTTGCGCTGAAAAGAGAGCTCTCTAATACAATTCTTACTAGTAACAATTCAATTAGAGATCTCTGTAATTGAACAGCAATTAATTAGAGAGCTCTATAATTCCATTCTTACTAGTAACAATTTAATTATAGAGCTCTCTAATTAAATTATTACTAGTAAGAACTAAATTAGTGAGCTCTCTAATTCAATTACAGAGCTCTGCAATTAAGCATATCTTTAATTTGTTTTTTTACTAGTAAAAATTTAATTATAGAGCTCTGTAATTGCATTTTTACTTGTAAGAATTAAATTAGAGAGCTCTCTAATTGCAATTGTTACTAGTAAAAACTAAATTGTAGAGCTCTCTAATTGTAATACTTACTGGTAAAATTTAAATTGTAGAGCTCTGTAATTAAAATGAATGAAAAACAATGGAAACATATGACTATTAAAACTTCATTTGTAGAGCTCTGTAATTGAAATTATTACTAGTAAGAATTGAATTAGAGAGCTCTATAATCATAATTGTTACTAGTAAGAACTGAATTAGAGAGCTCTCTAACTGGCATTGTTACTAGTAAGAATTTAATTGTAGAGCTCTCTAATTGAATTGTTACTAGTAAAAATGCAATTACGACGAGTAACACTGGGATTATTTTAAGATAAAACGGCTTGCCATATCACTAGTGGCAATTAAACTGTTGATATGAAGAATTAAATTGTTGATATAAAGAATAAATCTCTGTACTAGTAACCATGTGATTACTGATATCAAAAATAAAGTTTTTTTAATAAGAACTGTATTTCGGATATGTGAAATTGTAATGTCAACTAGTAAGAAATCAATTCTTGATATCAACAATTAAATTTGAATGGCAGCCTATGGTGATTACTAGTGAAAATACAAGGTTACAGATATCAAGAATTATATTTTTTACTAGTTGAAATTTAATTCCTGATATCAATAATTAGCATTTAACTAGTGAAAATGTAATTGTTGATATCAAGAATTAACATTGTTACTAGTGGAAATGTATCTTGATATCAAGAATAATATTTTTTACTAGTAGAAATTTAATTGCTGATATTAAGAATTCAATTTCTGCGAGTGATGATGTCATTGTTGATATCAAGAATTAACATTGTTACTAGTGGAAATGTATCTTGATATCAAGAATAATATTTTTTACTAGTAGAAATTTAATTGCTGATATTAAGAATTCAATTTCTGCGAGTGATGATGTCATTGTTGATATCAAGAATTAACATTGTTACTAGTGGAAATGTAATTGCTGATATCAAAAATAGCAATTGTTACAGATCTACAGGTGCATCTCAATAAATTAGAATGTCAAGGAAAAGTTAATTTATTTCAGTAATTCAACTCAAATTGTGAAACTTGTGTATTAAATAAATTAAATGCACACAGACTGAAGTAGTTTAAGTCTTTGGTTCTTTTAATTGTGATGATTTTGGCTCACATTTAACAAAAACCCACCAATTCACTATCTCAACCAATTAGAATGCTTCATAAGACCAATAAAAAAAAAATTGTGAATTGTTGGCCTTCTGGAAAGTATGTTCATTTACTGTACATGTACTCAATACTTGGTAGGGGCTCCTTTTGCTTTAATTACTGCCTCAATTCGGCGTGGCATGGAGGTGATCAGTTTGTGGCACTGCTGAGGTGGTATGGAAGCCCAGGTTTCTTTGACAGACCAAACAAAGTAGTTTTGCTTTCACAACGAAACACACGGTGGCCTAGCGTGAGTGGAAGCCGCAGCCTAGCGTGAGCAGAGGCGGTATTCTTCAGCGGCAACCACATGTGACGACCCCAGGCTGGACTTCGCTTCGTCCACGATGAAAGCCGATCCGGCGATCGCAAAGTTGTAGTATTTCCTCAGCAACCAGCACAGATCAGCTCTAGGCATGACGAAGCAGATATCGTCCTCTTTTGGAAGGCCAAACTAAGTAGTTTCGCTTTCACAACGAATCACACAGTGCCTTCACGACATGGCGGCGGAAACAACAATATTACAGCGAGAATAAAAGTTACGCCTTACGTTATGCAAATCTTCCCAGATAGTGACGTAGGTATGTGGGGGCGTGTTAGAATGAGCCGTTTTAGGTAGGCGTGGCTGACTCTTAACTTTTATAAAGAATATCTCTTTGGATTTGAGACTTTAGTCTTTGCAACTTTACAGATCTTCTTTATGCACCAAGAGCTTGTAACACTCCAAAGAGAAAGGAAACATTTAAATCGCATCATATGACCCCTTTAAAGCCTCCTTCGTCAAATCCGCCGCCTCTGCTCACTCTAGGCCACCGTGTGTGACGCTGTTTCATTGTGAAAGCGAAACTACTTTGTTAGGCCTTCCAAAAATGGACACGACTAGAAATCAGTGGTTAAATTGTATTTACAACACTGTTCCAGAACACTTCAATCCAAATATTCAGATGTGTGCAGCACATTTTATGGAGGACCGTTTCCTGATCCTGGGAGAGTAGACTACAATGCCAGCTGTTCTGACTCAAAGATCGTAAGTATGGTTTTTATATTTAAAGAGTTTTTATATTTTATATACTTAAAGCGAGTTTTTTGGGCAGTGTAGAGTAGGGCTTGTTGTTTGTCATTTCTCCGATTACAAATGCAGACATGGTTTTAGGTTTACGCAGCGTGATGCAGTATAAAAGACAGTATAAGTCATTATAATCCATAATTATGTCCCCACTGGATGCAACGAATGCCTAGTTTATAATGGGTTTTCATGTTTTTGAATCATCGCTCCGGCCTGACAGGGCATCATCACAATATGGTAAGGGGCGTAATATTTCCGTCACCCGCTTGAGGTATTCGGCCAATCACAATGCACTGGATAGCTGGCCAATCACAGCACACCTCGCTTTTTTAGAACGATGAGCTTTGTAAAAATCTACGCGTTTCAGAAAGGCGGGGCATAGAGGAGAAACAATAATGTACAGTATGTGGAAAATAATGTGTTTTTTAACCTTAAACCGCATAAACACATTTCATTACACCAAATACACAAAATAATGTTCTTATTAGCAGTATCATATGCCCGTTTAACATTTTAACTAATAAAAATTTAATTGTTGATATCAAGAATTCATATCCTGAGAATGAATGAAAGTCAAAACGTCTTGCCATAGAAAACTGAATTGTTGATATCACGATTTAACATTTTTACTAGTGATAATTGAATTGTTGATATCAAGAATTCCTATACTGTGAAGGAATGAAAGTCAAAACGGCTTGTCATAAGTTACTTTTACGATCACATATATAATGTTAAATTTGTTATTGTTTTGTTGATTTCAAAATTGAGCTTGCATGCATAGAATGTGCACATCCGGGGTGCTATACTCCTGAATCATCCTAGACAAAAACTCAAAAATTTGTGTGCATGCATGCACATTTTAGCTTCCTTTGTTATGAAGAGTTTAATAAGTGCATCAAATGAAAGAATAAAGATACATTTAAAACTATGATCAATATAAACATTCTATTTTATTATAAAACAAATCTGCAACATAAATAGATTCAGATTCAGAGTAAAGTGACATTGACTGCAGTAAATTAATATACAAAGTTCAGGTACCTCAGCTGTGAGATGTAGGGCAGACACTGAAAGAAACTCATCACTTCACTCTCTTCCTCTGAACTTCCTCTCAGCTCTACTGGTTTCTTCTCTGATTGGAGTTTCAGCACTTCCAGGAGGACAGAGATCTTTCTCTGTGAGAGATCTATGATCCAGACATCAGGTAACTGGAAAACTGACTGTAATGCTGGAAGGAAACTCTTGCCTGTTTGAGTCTCATAGTTCTTCACATGTGAGCAAAGATCCAGCAGGAAATCACTCTGACCAAAAGGATCATACTGATCAAAATTGAAAGGGAAGGTTTTGTAACTGCACACAGTTGACAGAGTTGTGAATCTTGTTCCTGTATCGGTGTCACTTTCTACTGCAGCAACACTGAGATTCAGCAGGAATCTTACTGCAGACATCTTTTCTTTATAATAAAATTCCCCAAAACTGATAATATACAAACAAAAATGAAACACTTAATTCATTAGAGAAAACTTACATCACATAATATAATACTTTACATCCTACACAAATAAATAATTCAGCAAGAAGACCCAGGGCTCTAATTTGAAAATATCTTAACTGAAATGCAGTGCTATATGGTATGTCATTTGTGCAAAGTCTGTGGGTATGAAAAAGGAGGCTGGAAATTTTCTTGGACGTACCCAGTAAGTCTTAAGACCTATTCACATCAAGAATGATAACTGTAACTACAAAGTTTTAATAATCACTCTTATTCTATGAGAATTGGTAAGTCCACACCACAGTTATAGCTATAACATAGAGGAACGATATCATTAGAATCACTTTCAGAATGATTTTTTTCCCAGCTGATGAACGATAAAAACATTGACAGCCAATCAGAATCCACCTGACATTAAAGAGCTTGAGCATTTAAAGGGGTCATATGATGCAATTTAAATTTTTCCTTTCTCTTTGAAGTGTTACAAGCTCTTGGTGAATAAAGATCTGTAAAGTTGCAAAGACTAAAGTCTCAAATCCAAAGAGATATTCTTTATAAAAGTTAAGAGTCAACCATGCCTACCTAAAATGCCTCGTTCTAACACGCCCCCACATGTCTACGTCACGATGTGGGAAGATTTGTATAACACTGCCCAAATGTTCATGCAAAGAAAGAAGGCGTAACTTTTATTCTCGCTGTAGTATTGTTGCTGCCATCATGTCGTGAAGATTTTGTGTGTTTCGTTGTGAAAGCGAAACTACTTTGTTTGGCCTTCCAAAAGAGGACGATATCCACTTCATCATGCCTAGAGCTGATCCGTGCTGGTCGCTGAGGAAATACATCAACCTCGCGCTGTGGATCGCCGGATCGGCTTTCACCGTGGACGAAGTGGAGTCCAGCCTGGGGTCGTCACATGTGGTTGCTGCAACCATTCATTGTCGAATCCGCCGGCCGCACCGTTCCTCACTCTAACCTGCCGACCTCCGCTCACTCTAGCCTGCAGCCACTCACTCAAGCCCGCCGTGTGTGATGCTGTGCGTTTCGTTGTGAAAGCGAAACTACTTTGTTTGGCCTTCCAAAAGAGGACACGACTAGAAATCAGTGGTTAAGTTGTATTTACAACACTGTTCCAGAACAGTTCAACCCAAATATTCAGATGTGTGCAGCAAATTTTTTGGAGGACTGTTTCCTGATCCTGGTAGAGTAGACTACAATGCCGGCTGTTCTGACTCACAGACTGTAAGTACGTTTTCATATTTAAAGGATTTGCCACTGATGTTTCAAACGCCAGTTTTGAGCAATGTAGAGTAGCGCTTGTTGTTTGTCATTTCTCCGATCACAAATGCAGACATGGTTTTATGTTTACGTGGCGCGATGCAACACATAAAAAGACAGTATAAGTCATTACAATCCGTAATTATGTCCCCACTGGCTGCAACAAATGCCTCGTTTATAATGGGTTTGAATGTTTTTGTTTCGTCGCTCCGGCCGGGACACGGCATCACAGTATGGTCAGGGGAAGAACATTTCAGTCACACGCTTGAGGTATTCGCCAATCACAACGCACTGGATAGCTGGCCAATCAGAGCACACCTCGCTTTTCAGACCGATGAGATTTGTAAAAATCGACGCATTTCAGAAAGGCGAGGCATAGAGGAGAAACAATAATGTACAGTATGTGGAAAATAATGTGTTTTTTGAACCTTAAACCACATAAACACATTTCATTACACCAAATACACAAAATAATGGTCTTTTTAGCAGCATCATATGACCCCTTTAAAGTGGCAAGCGACAAAACGGCATCACTCGCTTATAATAAACAGAACATTATTGTCTGTTGGTGTGGATGTTAGTATAATTATTCTTATAGTAATAATTATTGGTGTAAGCGAGCCTTTATGCACAAGTGGACTGGTGAATTCACAAGCACAAAGCTTGAATTAATTTGGTAAAGTGTAAGAGTTTATTCCCTGTAAACAATAGTGATATAAATGAAGTCAGTCCATTCATAAGAAGTGAATGGAGTGAAAGTGATTCATTAGAAGAATAGAAAAAACTGTCTTAAGACTTGAATAGCAGGCACTCCTTACAAACACATGAAAAATATGGTGCTCATCAGGACTAACTGGATGTTGGCTCCATTAAATGATAGAGAATGTAAGTATAATTAAAGGGATAGTTCACCCAAAAATGAAAATTTTATGTTTATCTGCTTATCCCCAGGGCATCCAAGATGTAGGTGACTTTGTTTCTTCAGTAGAACACAAACTGAGATTTTTAACTCAAACCGTTGCAGCCTGTCAATCATATAATGTAAGTGGATGGGAATCACAGCTTTGAGAGTCATAAAACATACACAAACACAAACAAAAGTGTCTGAAATGTCCTGAGCGCGTTCGCATCTTCTTCTTCAGCTTGCGTGTGAGGCATCTTCTTCTTCTGCTTAGGCTGAAGAAGAAGACGCGAACGTGCTCAGGACAGTTCAGACATTGCGGTGAAAATCAGAGGTAAAAACCGATATAAATACTGTTCAGTTTCTTGCACAGACCGATCGTTTTGTGTCTTTACACATCAATGTATCATCACGAGCCGCAGGGTTTAATTTGATTTTGTTTGTGTATGTTTTATGACTCTCAAAGCCGTGATTCCCATCCACTTACATTATATGACTGACAGACTGCAATGGTTTGAGTTAAAAAATCTCTGTTTGTGTTCTACTGAAGAAACAAGCAGATAAAAATCTAATTTTCATTTTTGGGTGAACTATCCCTTTAATCATATTGATCTACTGACATACACCATCATGACTTGTGTTAACTGTTATTGTCAGCTACATCATTTAGCACATATATTTTGGTAGCATCTGCTGGTGAAATCTACAAGGTTAATCTACAAGGACCTCCCATAACTACACCTATAATTTGTGCTTGTACATCTACAGATATGGTGAGCACTCACACCCACGGACAGTTGTAAGTTGCCCTGCATGAAAACTGCTGGATTTAAACTTGGATTTAGGTATTCACACAAAAACGAGACAAGATTTAGTGAATGGTCAGAATACATCACCGTATACCTAACACTGATAAAAACAGAGCCCATAATCTAACAACACTCATTAACACCTGAATAAATGTTCCAACTTATACAGAAATCATATTTCACAATAACTGTAAGTTTCCAGAGATTCTCTTACCTCAGCTGTGAGATGTAGGGCAGACACTGAAGAAAACTCTTCATTTCACTGTCTTCCTTTGAATATCCTCTCAGCTCTACTTGTTTCTTCTCTGTTTGGAGTTTCAGCACTTCCAGGAGGACAGAGATCTTTCTCTGTGAGAGATCTATGATCCAGACATCAGCTGACTGGAAAACTGACTGTAATGCTGGAAGGAAACTCCTGCCTGTTTGAGTCTCATAGTCCTTCACATGTGAGCAAAGATCCAGCAGGAAATCACTCTGATCAAAATCATCATACTGATCAAAATTGAAAGGGAAGGTTTTGTAACTGCACACAGATGACAGAGTTGTGAATCTTGTTCCTGTATCTGTGTCACTTTCTATTGTAGCAACACAGAGATTCAGCAGGAATCTTACTGCAGACATCCATCTTTCTTGATTATAAACGTCCCCAAAACTGATAACATACAATCAAAAACAAAACTCTTCATTAATTTGAGACAACTTACATCACATAATACAATACTTTATATCCTACACAAATAACTAATTAAACAAGAAGACCCAGGGCTCTAATTTGATAATGTCTTAACTGAAATGCAGTGCTATATGGGATGTAATTTGTGCAAAGTTTGTGGGTATGAAGGAGGAGGTTAGGAGTTTTCTTGGAGAAACCAGTAACCCTTAAAGGAGACATATTATGCCCCTTTTATGTAATATAAGTCTCTGGTGTTCCCAGAAAGTGTTTGTGAAGTTTCAGCTCAAAATACCCCACAGATCATTTATTATATCATTTTGAAAATGCCTATTTTGAGTGGAAGCAGAATTTTTTTTTTCGTGTCTGTCTCTTTAAATGCAAATGAGCTGCTGCTCCCCGCCCCTTTTCCAGAATAGAGCTGCGCCATTACAGCTTGTACCTGCTAAAAACATGTTTTGGTTCTGACTCGGTACCGTTTCTAGGCATAGGCGAGCTAGGCGGTCGCCTAGGGCGCCACCAGTTGAAGGGGCGCCAATGAGCACATGTACTGGCACTACATTTTAGCAGAGGCGGACAGTAGTGAAGTATTTTTACTCTGTGGTAAAAGTACTTTTCAGGTGTTTGTACTTTATCAGAGTGTTTTTCTTTAGAAACTTTACTTCACAACATTCCAAAGCATAATATTGTACTTTTACTGCACTACGTTTCATATTATATATCATTTAATACTTAATTACATTAGAAATATATTACTTTCTTACTTTTACACAAGTATTAGGCAGTATTTGTGGCAATTGATAAATCATGTTGCGAGATTTTTCCAAAAGGTGTGTGTTTTTGCGCCAATGCATAAACTTCAACAGCCAATTAAAAAATATTGGTACAGTAAATTCACAAGATCAATACATCCTTTATTAAACCGCTTCGTTGAGTTTAATGCATCCTTAAGGAGGTGTCGAAATGCTGAATCAATTCATTCACTTCTAACAATACTTAATGGGAGCAGCGTATAGAGGCCAAAGCGTCACGTTATTTAAAGGGGAAGTTCACACGTTAATGAGTAGCAAAGGATTAAGTAGCTGCATTGATTACTTTTATGCCACTGATCAGGCTTTTATATGTAGTTTGGGGTAACAAAGGGTTTATTAGGTTTGACTGAAATAATGCAATAACTGACACTTTAAATCAATGTTTCAAGCAACAACAACAAAACAATTGAACAAAAACAGATAAAGACAAAAAGTATCCATTGATAATATCTAAACATGTATCCAAATAATAAAATAATAGTAATAAAATTAATTTATGTGTGATTTATGTGTAAATTATGTGCAGTGTCTTAGCTACTAGGGATTGTTACATAGGGCTATACAGGCATCTAGTGGCAACACAATGATATTACAGATAATAAATTGTGCAAAATGTTTATCTTCACAGTCCATTTACAAATAATGAATTCAGATTTGTGGAACTCACAATGCGTTGAATCTCCACAAATTAGTGTCGTTACTGTGACAACCAATTTGAATGTGACAAGAAACTGGTGTCTGAAAAGAATATATATATATAGTTTTCTGAGTGCACACATCTGAAGCACACGGACAGAAAGCGGCTGTCACAGCATGTGAGCACTAAACTAAGTTCTCATTCACAAACAAGTTTACGTTAAAAACACACATGAGTTACAAAAACAGTCGGTTATGTCTGTGAAGGTAAACAGCTGGGAAAGAAATCGTATGTTTATATTAGATCTGTGTGGCAGCAGCAATATGCTGTAAATAAATCAATAAATCCACTGTTCTCTTGTTTCCTTTGAGGCTGGGACTCTAAATAGTGTTCTGTGCTCGTCTGTGCAGCCAGAGACAGAACAGTTGCATGTTTTGCTCAAACTTTCGCCATGGCATTAGAACTGGTACACTGTTGTTGCTTGCGAAATCAAAATGATGGCGCCTTGGGTGGAAACTTACAGATTAAGGGGCAGCAAAATTATAATGAGATCCCTTTACAACGTCGTAAGCTAAATCAGATGTGCTCGTTTTTTCAGACGTTTGCAGAAAAAGGCTTACCAAAAAAAAGTTACTGGGTTAATCTTTTTCACGTTTCTTTGGTTGGTAGATGCACCGGGGACCTGATTATAGCACTTAAATCCTGGAAAAGTCAGATTTTCATGATATGTCACCTTTAAGGCCCGTTCACACCAAGGATGATAAATATAACTAAAAAGTTTTAATAATCGTTGTAATTCTATGAGAATTGGTAAGTCCACACCACAGCTATAATGATAGTGTCACAGAGGAACGCTGTCATTAAAATCACTTTCAGAATGATTTTTTCCAGCTGATGAACAAAAACATTGATAGCCAATCAGAATCAGAGCTTTTATTCACCAAGGAATTTATTTTTTTTCAGGAGCTCTTGGTACATACATAAATACATGCATACATACAACCCTCTACATTGCAAGTAAATCACTCGCGACAAAATCTTTACACATTTTCAGATTTTACTCAATAGTGTGTGAGTTGTAGTTTAAGTATAAGCTTAGCACCAATATATTTTAACTTGCCGAACACTCTCTGACTGAGCGCTTCAGAGTTACACTCAGAGTCTCACTCTCCGTCAAGAGACTGTGCTATTTTTCAGTTCATCTGAATAGATGTGCAGCGCACCTGTGTTTGATGTACCGTAAACTCTAGTATGAACGAGCATGACTCGCCGTTGTGTTGTCTCATATACACACAGAGAGAGAGAGAGAGCGAGAGAGAGAATTGGTGCGCTACATGTAAACGATATTCTTTGTTGTATTTTCCTGTCAAAATAACAGAGTTCCTTTGGAATTTTTCAGCTTTTAAGAACTGCCGCTTTCTCCGGTAGTGGGCGGAACTAATGCGCAGACAGCAATCACATAGGCTATAGAAGCACGGAAAAGTCCAGTAAATCAATGAAATAAGATGCTAAAGCTGATGTTCCGGCAGAGTTTCTGCACGAGGAAGATGGCGTACAAGATCAAGCTCAGCAGGTGCTCAGCTCTGAGAGACTTGCCACGGATATAACGAAACACATCACCAGCGTCATGGATGAAAAGTTCGCTACCTTCCTAAGTCAACTGCAAGATATCGCAAACAAAATACAATATACAAAGCGCATCAATGAGGTTGAAACCCGAGTATCTGGAGCAGAAGACAAACTAGCATCGACCAAAATAAAGCTAACGAGCGCTTAATTGCCTAGATGAACTGAAAACCAAAGTGGATGATTTGGAAAATAGATCAAGATGAGACAACCTGATCATCCTAAACTTTCCCGAGGGGGTGGAAGGAGCTAATCCCACCAATTACTTCCAATCCTGGATACCCACCTTTCTCGGATTAGAGGAGAAGATGGAGATAGTTCGTCTGGATCATGCTCACAGATTAGGGAGACCCAGTTCGCAGCTGCCTGAACGCCTGGGGCGCTGTCCGAGGCCAGTGATAATGAATCCACATTATTTCCAGGATAAGGGCAAGGTTTTGAACGTGGCGAAATCCAATGGCCCGCTGCATTTCCAGGGCAACGACATCTCTTTTGTGCAGGACTTTTCCCAGTCGGTGCAGCAAAGAAGGCAGAGCTTCAATGCGGTTTGCGAAAAGCTCAAGAAACTTAATATAAGTTTCGGAATGTCTTTCCACGCAACACTGAGAATTGTTCACAATGGCTGCACGATTTTTTGTGACACTTCAGGGAAAGAGGTTGATTTTCTCACTAAACTCGGGGACTCCCATGCAGTGATCTACGGTCTGTCGGCTTAAACGATATGATGCATGGATATGTTCTGATTATAACAACAATATTATAATGTTATTGAGAACTGGTTTATATGACTTTACCTACTTGTTTTATAGTTTTATGTTTGTGGAATACTGTGGATAATATGTTTTGTTGCAGCAAGTTGGAAGTTAGGTATTTTTATTGAGGGGTATGTGAGTGGAGAGGTTTGGATTTGGGTGGGATATTTCAAGTTTAACTCTTTCTAACTCTTTACTCCAGTAACAGGTTCCCTGGTCTACTGAGGTAGAGGTGGTTCATGTTTCTGTTCCTTTCGGGGTTTTTTTAGTTGCTATTGCATTTTCGTGACATGGTTGTTATATGTTCTGAATTTTTTTTCTCTCTCGGGGTTTCATTGGGAGGGAAGGATAGTGTGCAGCCCATCAATTTCAGATGGGCTTCCTGCCTGTTTTTCTAACAACAGCAACTTTGTTCACTATTGTATTATTATTTTATGAGTGATCTTAAAATGCTGACTCTAAATGCGAAGGGGATGAACCATGTGATCAAGTGCAAAAAGGTGCAGTCCTGGCTGAAAAAGAAAAGGTACAAGTAGCCCTTTTACAAGAAACCCACTTAAATGACAATGAACATGCCAAATTGCAATGAGAATGGGTGGGCCAAGTATTTTTCTCCTCTTTCAAATCAAACAGCAGAGTTGTGGCTATATTACTTCACAAGCACTTCCTCTTTAAGATAGAAAAAATTATTAAAGATAAAGAGGGTAGATATGTGATTGTCTTGGGCTACCTCTATGGAGAAATGGTCACATTAGGATCTGTGTATGCCCCCAATTCTTTACAAAATAAATTTTTTGCTTCATTGTTAAGGGACCTGGCATCCTGCTCCAGTCCATTCACTGTTTTGGGTGGCGACTGCATCATGGATGCTGATTTGGACCGTAAAACCACTTCTGCCAGCTAATGACAACAGAAAATCCAGGGCATTAAGAGACTTATGTAATTATATTAATCTACTTGACATGTTGAGACTTTTACAACCCAAGGATAAAGACTTCACTTTCTATTCAGCTCCACATAAGTCTTTTTCAAGGATTTTTTTTTCATCTAGATTGGCATTGGATAGAACAATGTTATGTCATGTGATATTGGACTAAACTCCATCTCAGATCATGCACCGTTGACTGTAAA